AGATAGAATGAAGCAGAATGATGAAAAAGGGGTCCCTATGTCCTCCAGCAGTCTAAGCCTATAGCAGCAGAACTATAGAGATAGCTCAGGATAACCTGAGCCACTCTAACTAGAAGTTTTATCAAAAAGGAAAGTTTTAAGCCTAGCCTTAAAAGTAGACAGGGTGTCTGCCTCACGGACTAAAACTGGTAGTCGGTTCCACAGGAGAGGAGCCTGATAACTAAAAGATCTGCCTCTCATTCTACTTTTAGAAATTCTAGGAACCACTAGTAAACCTGCAGATTGAGAGCGAAGTGCTCTGTTAGGAACATAAGGAACAATCAGATCTCTGATATCAGATGGAGCTTGGCCATTTAAGGCTTTATATGTGAGAAGGAGGATTTTAAATTCTATTCTGGATTTAACAGGAAGCCAATGAAGAGAAGCCAGGATAGGAAAGATATGATCTCTCTTTTTCATTTTCATCAGAACTCTGGCTGCAGCATTTTGGATCAGCTGAAGGCTTTTAACTACAGTTAGTCGACTTCCTGATAGTAAAGAATTACAATAGTCCAGCCTTGAAGTAACAAATGCATGGACTAGTTTCTCAGCATCACCCCTGGACAGGAGATTTCTCATTTCTGCAATATTCCTCAGATGAAAGAAGGAAATTCTAGAAACCTCTTTGATATGGGATTTAAATGACAGGTCCTCATCAGGAACAACACCAAGATTTGTTACTTTATTATTTGAAATCAGTTTAATCCCATCAAAATGAAGTGACTGGCTAATCAGTTTCTTTTTTAAAGACTCTGGTCCAAAGACTATAACTTCTGTTTTGTCTGCATTCAGAAGGAGAAAGTTAAGATTCATCCAGGGTTTTATGTCTTCAATACATGCCTGTAATCTATGTAATGGGTTAGCTTCATCTATTTCCATTTCCATTTCATTTATTTTGAAACATGACATGATTTTACAATGTTTGCATAGAATGCTACCTAAACATACAGCATGTTTCAAAAAGGAGCAGGATGAAGCATAAGCTTATTAAACCCTACCCCTCAGTTACATAAGTCATGGTGGTAAAGGACGATTACAGTAAGACGAACAGTATAACTTTTTGTGTATTATTCTTTTTTGTATTCATCAAAAATACTTTTCTTATATTGTTTTTTGAATTGCTGGATGCTTTTACAATGTTTAATGTTTTCAGGCAAGCTGTTCCAGAGCTTCACTCCACTAACTGATAAACTGAAGGTTCTTTTTGTTGTTCGAACACACTTAGTTTTGAAATGTAATTTTCCTCTTAGATTATATTTTCCATCTCTATCTGTAAACAATTTTTGTATGTGTGCAGGAAGTAATTTATTTCTTGCTTTATAAAGAATTTGAGCAGTTTTGAAATCGATCAGGTCTACAAATTTAAGAACTCTTGAATCTAGGAATAAGCAGTGAGTGTGATCTCTATAATGTTTGTTATTCGTTACTCGTATTGCTTTCTTCTGCATAATAATCAGTGGTTGAATGTTTGTTTTGTAAGTGTGGCCCCACACTTCAACACAATAGGTTAAATATGGCTGAAACAATGAGAAATATAATGTGTTTAAAGCTTGTTTGGTCAGAAGATGCCAGGCTTTATTTATAACAGCCAAACATCTGGCCAGCTTTGACCGGATGTGCTGTATATGTCCCTTCCAACTAATTTTATTATCTAAAATGACACCTAAAAATTTTATTTCATCAACTAATTCTAATTGTACATCATCAATACTTAACTTTATTTTACTACTTTTTTTAATGTTTCCAAATAAAAAAAAAATAAAAAAAAAAGTAGTAAAATAAAGTTAAGTATTGATGATGTACAATTAGAATTAGTTGATGAAATAAAATTTTTAGGTGTCATTTTAGATAATAAAATTAGTTGGAAGGGACATATACAGCACATCCGGTTTTCATCTGGATTATAGACAGATATAGCTGGGTATCATCAGCAAAACAGTGGAAATTAATCCCATGCTGTCTAATAACTCTACCGATTGGGAGCATATATATATATATATATATATATACTGAAGAGAACTGCTAAGTTACCAAGGCTGCTACTGAAGAGAACTCCTAGAACTGATCCCTGTGGTACTCCACATTTAACCCTGGAGCATGAGTCTCATGGGGCAACCAAAAGAGGACTCTAATGCTAGTCAGCACAATTAGTTGGAACGACTGGCAAAAAATCCACATATGTAGAGGCTCGTCAAAAGGGGGTAGAGCAAAATACCTACAACAAACAAATACCTATTGAACGCTTGACACAAGTGACAAAGATGAACTGGCAACGAAGGCTGCTGAGGGATAGGTTTAAAGAGGTAAGGGAATCAACAACAAGACACAGGTGAGCAGTACCAGGGAGGCTGATTGAAGGGTAATCCAAGAAAGTGAAGTATTCTGAAAAGAAAACAGAACTTAGTGCCTGAAAATAAAACAGTAAGTTCAGAAAACAACTGAGCCAGACAAAAAATGACAAGAGAAAAAGAAAGTAATTAGCAGAGCTGCATGTGACGATGAGGAAGATTTATCATTAACGTAAACAAACCGAAATCGATCAGATAGATAGAAAGCTAAGTTGAAGACAACAGTTTTGCTAACTCTGAAGGTTCAACTGGATCAAAGCAGTCTAAACTCGGTTCAGATTCCATGACTACCTCAGATGCTGCCCCACCCTTCAGAGACAAACCAATTGCGGATAGAGGAATGCTCATGCTCTTATTTTTAATAAGATCAATCATATTTATAAAGAATCCCATAAAATCATTCCTGCTAAGAGCAGGTGGAATGGACGGTTCGACTAAGCTACGAAAATTCGACAAAATTTCCCATTTTAGCTTCTGTACACTGGCTGCCAGTACATTTTAGTTTTCATTTTAAAATTCTTTTATTTATTTTTAAAACTCTTAATGGCCTTTCCCCTTCTTATCTGTCTGAGCTGTTACATTCTTACACACCCTCCCGTTCCCTCAGGTCAGCTGATCTGTTGCTTCTGAGAGTCCCAAAGACAAAATGCAAGCTCAGAGAGGACCGTGCTTTTTCTGTGACAGCTCCTAAGCTATGGAACGATCTGCCTTTGAGCATAAGACAGGCCTCTTCTCTTGCTATTTTTAAGTCCCTTCTTAAGATTCATCTTTTTTCCTTGGCTTTTGCCACAATTTGAGAGGTTTCACTGTTTTATTCTGTTTGTATACTAATATGTATTTTATACTCGCTCTTTTCTATTTTTATAATTGCATTGTATGTTATCATTGTGTACAGCACTTTGGTCTTGTCCGGTGTATAAAGTGCTTCATAAATAAAGTTGGTTTGGTATGGTAAGCTATGGCTCTAAGTGAGTTAAAAAGATATCTAGGATCATTCCTATTCTCCTCTGTTAATAAGGAGAAATACGCTGCTCTTGTTTTACAAAGGGTCCTCTTATACAGCAGTAAACTATTTTTTCAGACAAGTTAGATTCCCGTAGGCTTCCAGAGTGCCATGTTCTCTCCCGTTTCCTAGCATTTTGCTTTAAAATGCACAGCTCTGCATTAAACCAAGGAGCCAGCTTACTATTTTTAAAGTTTTTCATTTTCAAAGTAGCTGTGTTGTCTAAGGCAGTACGCAGAGAACTAGCAACCCCATCAACAAAATCATCAACCTGTGAAGGGGAATAAGCTAAGCTTTTGCCCTCATGCTGCACTGGTCAGCGACACAGAGGAGAGAGAAACCTTCTTTTGGGGGAAGAGAACTCTGTTAATGTAATCCTGAAGGTTAGTAAAAAGTGGTTAGAGGACAGGGTTATGAGGAAATACTATTATTTCTTACCATTCTATGCCATATGTCAGGACAAGATCCAAAGTATGAAGATGAGAATGTGTGGGACTATTCACATTTTGAACAAAGCCAATAGTGTCTAAGATAGTATTAAAGGCTGCTCTTAAGCATGGATGTTAAAATCTCCCACTATGATGACCCTGTCAGTATTTAATACCAAATCAGAAAGGAACTCTGAAAACTCATCTAAACATTGAGAGTAAGGACCTGGTGGACGATGCAAAGTTTCAAAAAGAAGAGGTTTTCTGGTTTTGCTGTTAGGGAAACTAAGAGTGGCAGCCTATTTGTTAGGGCATAGAGCTTGGAAGTCTGAGGTTCTGAGTTTGCCCCACTCCCACAGTCTGATCCAGGGTCAGATGACCATAGAGACAAATACAACCCACCCTGCTACGTGGCCCAGTTAAACTGACTGCAGTCCGCTGTTCCGCCCAGAGGAACTGACTAAAGACTGCTTTTTCGTACAGTGGAATCGAATACAGACCACTGTTCCACCCAGTGGAACTGAATGCAGACCGCCACCAGTAGGTTGCTGACTTGAGGATTTGGAATGCTTCCTCCTTCCTCTATTCCCATTTCCTGTCTGCCTACTTTCAGAAAAAAAGCTCTCTGTTTGCTCATGAAGCTCCATCAGTGTGTGGAGGGAGGAAATCTATGGTTAATCTCTGCAGTTTGCTTTAGGCTGTTGCTGAACGGCTGCTAAGGTAATTTCTGTTCATTTTATTTCATCATCATCTTGGGTCACTTTATGGCTCCAGATCAATCAGATCATCCGGTCACAAAGTGACTTCTATCTATGGGAAACCAGCTGATGCAGGATTCCCTCTTGCTGGATGAGGGTGTGTGGCGTTATTAGCTGTTTGGAGGTCCAGGATCTCTTTACATTCAGGATGAGTCACATTGTGACGAAAGTGTTTTGTGGTACTTTATGTGGCTCTTCACTTCCTCGCCTTCATTCGAAAGGCATTTTGTTTGCTTTGAAGTTCAGGGCTTCATCTGCATGCACAGAGCAGATGATCTGCAGCACCCAGACTGCTGCTATAAATTCCCTCCTTGCATTTAGACGGTGGCAGCAGGACCAAAGTCCACTTTCCATAGGTCACATGTTTGTGGCTGACACACAGAGCCAGGAACTCGTCTGATCTGAATGTGTTTGTGTGTCACAGTGTGGAAGGTGATGCTCCTGACAGTGCGGTGGGCGTCTCTGTGGATCCCAGTGGCAGCTATGGTTGCAGGCCAGTGACCCACGGCTCAGGCCTCGGCCTGGACCAGCTGGACAGCCAGTTCTACGGACACATCTTTCTGCCGAGCCAACTGCGACCCCGCCGATCAAAGCTTCCGCATTCCCAATCCATCCTCCGCAAGCAGGCAGAGGAGGAGGCCATCAAGCGCTCGCGCTCACTGTCAGAGAGCTATGAGCTGTCATCAGACCTGCAGGACAAACAGGTGAGAGACCAACCTGGAAGCTTTAAACATTACAAAATAACAAATTACAATCCAGTAGTTTGAGCCCCTTTTTTATTACAAGCAAGAAAGAAAAAGAAAAAAGGAAAAAAAAAACAACAAAAAAAATATCTCAGACACCCACATGCCGAATTCCCAGCAACAGCTGCCTTAGGCCTGGTTGTGGTGCGACCGGGCCTGAGTACAGTGCACGAGTGCGTCGAGCACTAGGACCGAGCGGAAAACCGCAGCTCAAGCTGAAGCCCGCTTCTCTGAGTTTAGCTCGGCCACAAGCTGCTGATTGGCCCTCCATCTTTTCTTCCATGATTGGCTGTCACGGCTGTTACTCTTAAGAAGCTCACTTTACTAACATCTAATGCGCCTATGAATCTGGTCTGTGATTGGACGGTCAGATTGCTGCTGACGTCCTAAATGCTACCGTTATTAGAATGTGATTGGACGGTCAGATTGCTGCTAACGTCCTAAATGCTACCGTTATTACAACCTGATTGGACGGTCAGATTGCTGCTGACGTCCTAAATGCTACCGTTATTAGAATCTGATTGGACGGTCAAATTGCTGCTGACGTCCTAAATGCTACCGTTATTACAACCTGATTGGACGGTCAGATTGCTGCTGACGTCCTAAATGCTACCGTTATTAGAACCTGATTGGACGGTCAGATTGCTGCTGACGTCCTAAATGCTACCGTTATTACAACCTGATTGGACGGTCAGATTGCTGCTGACGTCCTAAATGCTACCGTTATTAGAACCTGATTGGACGGTCAAATTGCTGCTGACGTCCTAAATGCTACCGTTATTACAACCTGATTGGACGGTCAGATTGCTGCTGACGTCCTAAATGCTACCGTTATTAGAATCTGATTGGACGGTCAAATTGCTGCTGACGTCCTAAATGCTACCGTTATTAGAATCTGATTGGACGGTCACAGCCCTGCTTAAAGTTCTGGCCAACATTTACTGGAAGAGTCAAAGTAATCACTGGCCATAACCTTTTATTAAGTCAGGTAAGGTTAAACAAAACAAAACAAAAAAAAAATCTATGAAAATGTTTTAAAAACTATGATAAAACTGCTGTTGCTCCGATTCAATGAGCTATTGAAGGATCAAGATTAAAGGGTTAGTTCGGACTTTGACTCAGATGGAATTTTATCCCTCGGATGTTTGCTTAGAGCTGGATTATAGGGAATACAGCCAACCAATCAATTTCCTTTTTTCTCTTTGCAGGTGGAGATGCTAGAACGCAAATATGGTGGGCGTTTCATAACCAGGCATGCGGCACGCACCATCCAGACTGCCTTCCGCCAGTACCAGATGAATAAGAACTTTGAGCGTCTCAGGAGTTCTATGTCTGAAAATCGGATGTCCAGGCGGATTGTTCTGTCCAACATGAGAATGCAGCTGTCCTTTGAAGGACCCGAAAAAGTCCACAGCTCCTACTTCGAGGGAAAGCAGGTCTCTTTATCAGATGATGGCACTAAAATAGGTGCCCTGGTTCAATCTGAACGTGGCGGAGAAAGAGGCATCCAAACAACGGCACCAAGAGCACAGAGCGACTTCACAGACGCCATCACAGAGCTGGAGGATGCCTTCTCCAGGCAGGTCAAGTCTCTGGCAGAGTCCATCGATGATGCACTGAACTGCCGCAGCCTGCATGGAGAAGACAGGCCACTGGAGCAAGGAAGAGGCAGAGAATTCAGTGGCCAAGTCCCATCTCCAGACCAACGTAAACAAGACGAGATGACAGCCTCCTATAGCGACGTCACCCTCTACATTGATGAAGAAGAACTGTCCCCCCCTCTGCCCATGTCTCGGTCCGTAGGCAGACCCTCCAGTGCAGAGTCCGACCTGCGGCAGCGCTCCCCCAGCTCCCCACAGGACTACTGGTCATTGGCTCACAAGGATGGCAAAGGGGACACAGACACCAACTGTCGCAGCACACCCTCTCTGGAACGCCAAGAGCAGCGTCAGCGCGTCGACCACCTGCCCCTACTGACCATAGAGCCTCCCAGCGACAGTTCGGTGGAACTGAGCGATCGCTCAGACCGCAGCTCTTTGAAGAGGCAGAGCGTCTATGATCGGAGGCCCGGCAACCAGCAGGTCAGCCCCAAACACGGCGGCCACGGCCCACCTCCCAGGGACCCCTCCAGGGAAGACGATGTCTCCCGGCACTGGCCCCGACAGCTCGAGGCTCACCTGGCTATCAACGGCACAGCCAACCGCCACAGCAAGTCCGAGTCTGATTTCTCTGATGGCGACAACGACAGCATAAACAGCACGTCCAACTCCAACGATACCATCAACTGCAGCTCCGAGTCGTCGTCAAGGGACAGCCTGAGGGAGCAGACACTCAGCAAGCAGACGTACCAGAAGGAGACCCGGAACAGCTGGGACTCCCCTGCCTTCAGCAATGACATCATCCGTAAAAGACACTATCGTATCGGCCTGAATCTCTTCAACAAGTAGGTGCAGCACCCCAATGAAAATGGTTTACTAAACACACCTGTTTATGTTCACCCTTTGTGGAGGATCTGCTCTAATCTGATTCCTCTGCTTCAGTGTCCAAATAGAAACAAAATAGATACGATCAGCAGCAATTACTGAATCTGATTTAGGGCAAGATCAGCAGCACTCTGTTGGTTTATTTAGCGCACCTCTCAGAAGCTTGTTAGCCTTCTAACACCATTCAATAGATTTCCTCAGGGTTCCCATAGCAACAGGAAGGAAGAGCCTTCAAAATGCTGCATGCTGCTAGAATACCAGGGGCGTTATATAGAACCAGCAGTCCTAAGGCTTCTTGCCTTTTATTTTGTTTTTATGTCCACTATGTTAAGGTGATACATCAGATGAGGCGTCTTTAACCCTTTAAGCCCCATGTAGCATTTTTAGGGGTATTTGTGAAAATTGCCTACTCACACTTTCTAAGGTAATGTAACGTACAGGATTTTGGACCCAGGAAACAACTCAGAACGGTAAGCAGAATGCAACAGTTTTTATTTATAATGGAAGGCGAGGGGAGCGTACAGGCGGCTCTCGGTCAGGAAACCCCCTGTGGCGGAGACAACAGGTTAGTGATCAGCAATCAGAGAGCTAGAGAGGAACTGAGGCTGGATCACTAACCTGTTACTGGGTCGCAGGGTGGGCGATTAGCACCGCTTAGAGTCCGGGGCAGGAGTCCGATCGATGAAGGGGCTTGTGGAAACGGTGGCCGTTGAGCGGCGGATGGTCAGCTGAGGGCTTAGGCCGATGAGCTCCAGAGGCAGTTCGTTTGTGGATTCAGAGACGGGGTCCAAGCGAAGGTACAGAGGGGCAATCCAAAAGAGAGGTCCAGGTCCGTTCGAGGGTCCGTTTACTGGTTTGGGTTCAGAGCAGGCAGTCAGAATCAGATAAGGGGTTTGGCAGGCTCGGAGAGAAAAAGGGCAAAAACAGGTCAGGTAACAGGTAGGCAGGCAAACAGTAGAAGAGCTGGAAGGTACTCAAGAGATGGTTTGAGACGATCTGGCACTGGGAACAGATCCAAATGAGCTATATATAGAAGTGGGACCAATTAGAGATAATTGCAGGCAGGGTGGAGTGAGCAGGTGTGAGGAGTTGGAGATTAAGCCAGCACCAGTGCCGAGATCGTCACAGGTAATCCACGGTTATTTTTTAAGTTACTTTGTCAAAATTACTCAACAGTGATGAAGTTAGCATCACTGACAAAGAACATAACAATGTGGCATATTAGATTAAACTGTAGGATCTAGGATACAAGCAGCACAGACATTTTTAAAATGTGCAAAAAAACCCACTCATGTTATAGCCGATGAAATAAAAGATTTCAAAACCTAAATACATGGTCCAATAGCAACTGATGAGCAACGCTTCTGTCTCCACAGCCACATGAAACCAGAACTAAATAAATCTCAAATTAAATTGAAGCATTGCTGAGAAACAAGCTAATAAACAGAGAGAGATTAAACCACTGAGCCACAAACCAATTTTAAAAATATATCTCTCTCCATGAAGACTATGTTTTAAATGCTATTATATTGGGTTGAAAATAATCTCTATAGTAACAGAAAAAATCAGCGGCCAGACGTAGCCTTTAGAGACCAACAAGCTAACCGCTAATCTTGCACACCTGGATCTAGATTCTATTGCCTCTGACATTAGATTCTCTTATTATTTGCTAAAATCAACCACACTCACCAAGGTACAGTGGCAAGGCTCTGTATACAGTGGGTACGCAAAGTATTCAGACCCCTTTATATTTTTCAGTCTTTGTTTCATCCATCCATCCATCCATCCATCCATCCATTTTTTAACATGCTTTATCCCAAGTGGAGTTGCAAGGGGTGCTGGTGCCTATCTCCAGCTGTCTACGGATGAGAGACATCCACGCTGGACGGAGAGGCAGGGTCCATCCTGGACAGAGAGGCAGGGTCCATCCTGGACAGAGAGGCAGGGTCCATCCTGAACGGAGAGGCAGGGTCCATCCTGAACGGAGAGGCAGGGTCCACCCTGGACAGAGAGGCAGGGTCCATCCTGGACAGAGAGGCAGGGTCCATCCTGGACAGAGAGGCAGGGTCCACCCTGGACAGAGAGGCAGGGTCCATCCTGGACAGAGAGGCAGGGTCCACCCATGGACAGAGAGGCAGGGTCCACCCGGGACAGAGAGGCGGGGTCCACCCTGGACAGAGAGGCAGGGTCCATCCTGGACAGAGAGGCGGGGTCCATCCTGGACAGAGAGGCGGGGTCCACCCTGGACAGAGAGGCAGGGTCCATCCTGGACAGAGAGGCGGGGTCCATCCTGGACAGAGAGGCGGGGTCCACCCTGGACAGAGAGGCGGGGTCCATCCTGGACAGAGAGGCAGGGTCCATCCTGGACAGAGAGGCGGGGTCCATCCTGGACAGAGAGGCAGGGTCCATCCTGGACAGAGAGGCGGGGTCCATCCTGAACGGAGAGGCGGGGTCCATCCTGGACAGAGAGGCAGGGTCCACCCATGGACAGAAAGGCAGGGTCCATCCTGGACAGAGAGGCAGGGTCCATCCTGAACGGAGAGGCGGGGTCCACCCTGGACAGAGAGGCGGGGTCCACCCTGGATAGAGAGGTGGGGTCCACCCTGGACAGAGAGGCGGGGTCCACCCATGGACAGAGAGGCGGGGTCCACCCTGGACAGAGAGGCGGGGTCCACCCTGGACAGAGAGGCGGGGTCCAACCATGGACAGAGAGGCGGGGTCCACCCTGGACAGAGAGGCGGGGTCCACCCATGGACAGAGAGGCGGGGTCCACCCTGGACAGAGAGGCGGGGTCCACCCTGGACAGAGAGGCGGGGTCCACCCTGGACAGAGAGGCGGGGTCCATCCTGAACGGAGAGGCGGGGTCCATCCTGGACAGAGAGGCGGGGTCCACCCTGCACAGAGAGGCGGGGTCCACCCTGGCGGGGTCCACCCTGGACAGAGAGGCGGGGTCCATCCTGGACAGAGAGGCGGGGTCCATCCTGGACAGAGAGGTGGGGTCCACCCTGGACAGAGAGGCGGGGTCCATCCTGGACAGAGAGGCGGGGTCCACCCTGGACAGAGAGGCGGGGTCCACCCTGGACGGAGAGGCAGGGTCCACCCTGGACGGAGAGGCAGGGTCCATCCTGGACAGAGAGGCAGGGTCCACCCATGGACAGAAAGGCAGGGTCCATCCTGGACAGAGAGGCGGGGTCCACCCTGGACAGAGAGGCAGGGTCCATCCTGGACAGAGAGGCGGGGTCCATCCTGGACAGAGAGGCGGGGTCCACCCTGGACAGAGAGGCGGGGTCCATCCTGGACAGAGAGGCAGGGTCCATCCTGGACAGAGAGGCGGGGTCCATCCTGGACAGAGAGGCAGGGTCCATCCTGGACAGAGAGGCGGGGTCCATCCTGAACGGAGAGGCGGGGTCCATCCTGGACAGAGAGGCAGGGTCCACCCATGGACAGAAAGGCAGGGTCCATCCTGGACAGAGAGGCAGGGTCCATCCTGAACGGAGAGGCGGGGTCCACCCTGGACAGAGAGGCGGGGTCCACCCTGGATAGAGAGGTGGGGTCCACCCTGGACAGAGAGGCGGGGTCCACCCATGGACAGAGAGGCGGGGTCCACCCTGGACAGAGAGGCGGGGTCCACCCTGGACAGAGAGGCGGGGTCCACCCTGGACAGAGAGGCGGGGTCCATCCTGAACGGAGAGGCGGGGTCCATCCTGGACAGAGAGGCGGGGTCCACCCTGCACAGAGAGGCGGGGTCCACCCTGGCGGGGTCCACCCTGGATAGAGAGGCGGGGTCCATCCTGGACAGAGAGGCGGGGTCCATCCTGGACAGAGAGGTGGGGTCCACCCTGGACAGAGAGGCGGGGTCCATCCTGGACAGAGAGGCGGGGTCCACCCTGGACAGAGAGGCGGGGTCCACCCTGGACGGAGAGGCAGGGTCCACCCTGGACGGAGAGGCAGGGTCCATCCTGGACAGAGAGGCGGGGTCCTCCCTGGACAGAGAGGCGGGGTCCACCCTGGACAGAGAGGCGGGGTCCACCCTGGACAGAGAGGCGGGGTCCACCCTGGACAGAGAGGCGGGGTCCATCCTGGACAGAGAGGCGGGGTCCATCCTGGACAGAGAGGCAGGGTCCACCCTGGACAGAGAGGCGGGGTCCATCCTGGACAGAGAGGCAGGGTCCATCCTGGACAGAGAGGCAGGGTCCACCCTGGACAGAGAGGCGGGGTCCACCCTGGACAGAGAGGCAGGGTCCACCCTGGACGGAGAGGCAGGGTCCATCCTGGACAGAGAGGCGGGGTCCATCCTGGACAGATAGGCAGGGTCCAGCCTGGACGGAAAGGCAGGGTCCACCGTGAACGGAGAGGCGGGGTCCACCGTGGACAGAGAGGCGGTGTCTACCCTGGACAGAGAGGCGGGGTCCATCCTGAACGGAGAGGCGGGGTCCATCCTGGACAGAGAGGCGGGGTCCACCCTGGACAGAGAGGCGGGGTCCACCCTGGACAGAGAGGCGGAGTCCATCCTGGACAGAGAGGCAGGGTCCACCCTGGACAGAGAGGCAGGGTCCACCCTGGACAGAGAGGCAGGGTCCACCCTGGACAGAGAGGCGGGGTCTACCCTGGACGGAGAGGCGGGTTCCACCGTGGACAGAGAGGCGGTGTCTACCCTGGACAGAGAGGCGGGGTCCATCCTGAACGGAGAGGCGGGGTCCATCCTGGACAGAGAGGCAGGGTCCATCCTGGACAGAGAGGCAGGGTCCATCCTGGACAGAGAGGCAGGGTCCATCCTGGACAGAGAGGCGGGGTCCACCCTGGACAGGTCTCCAGTCCATTGCAGGGCAACACAGAGACAAACAGGAAAAACAACCATTCATGGACTCACTCACACCTAAGGAGAATTTAGAGAAGCCAACTAACCTAATATTTATGTTTCTGGACTGCGGTAGGAAGCCGGAGTACCCGGAGAGAACCCACACATGCTCAGGGAGAACATGCCATCTCCATGCAGAATGACCCCGTGCTGGGAATCGAATTCGCAACCTTTTGAGCAGCCACTCTTTGTTTCATTGCAGCCATTTTCTAAAATCAATGTTCATATAATTTCCAATTAATGTTCACTTAGCTTCCCATCCTGACATAAATAAAACAGAAATGTAGAAATGTTTTGCAAAATTATAAAAAAATAAAATATCAAATGGTCATAAGTATTCAGACCCTTTGCCGTGACGCTCTCATGTTGTACATTTCTTCTGATCCTCCTTGAGATGGTTCTGCTCCTTCATTGGAGTCTATCTGTGTTTAATTAACCTGACTGGACCTGATTGGGAAAGGAACACATCTGTCTATAGAAGAGCTTCCAGCTCACAAAGCTGTCAGAGCAAACCAGAACCATGAGGTGGAAGGAAAGGAGGCGAGGCTCAGATCTGGCCAAGGTTACTAAAGAGTTTCTGCAGCAGTCAAGGTTCTAAGAGCTCAGATCCAAAGCGGTATGTGTGGAGAAAACCAGGCGCTGTTCATCACCTGCCCAATAGAATTCAAACTGTGAAACATGGCGGTGGCAGCATCATGCTATGGGATGCAGGGACAGAACGACTGGCTGCAACTGAAGGAAAGATGAATGCAGCCGTGTACAGAGATATCCTGGAAGAAAAGCTTTTCCAGAGTCTCAGGACCTCAGACTGGGATGAAGGTTCACCTTCCAACCAGACAATGACCCAAAGCTTACAGCGAGAACAACAACTCTGGGACCATTCCTGACCTAAACCCCATGGATGATCTCTGGAGAGACCTGAAAATGGCCGTCCACCAGCGCTCAGCATCCAACCTGAACTGGAGAGGAAGAACGGCAGAGGATCCATCATCATTCCCAGGATCCTCCTGGCTGTACAAGCTCAGAAGCTGCTTCTACTCAATACTGAGCAAAGGGTCTGAATACTTATCACCAGGTAATATTTCAGTTTTTCTTTTTTTTAATAGATTTGGAAAAATGTTTACATTTCTGTTTTTGTTTTTTGTCAGGATGGGGTGCTGAATGAACATTGATGAGAAATAAAATGAATTTTTTTGATTTTAGAAAATGGCCGCATTAAAACAAAGAGTGAACAATTTTAAGGGGTCTGAATACTTTCTGTACCCACTGTATACACAGCCTTGCCACAGTATTCACCCCCTTGAATGTTTCATCCTTTTGCCACATTTCAGGCTTCGAACATAAAAATATAAAATTGTATTTTTTGTGAAGAATCAACAAATGCGACAGAATCATGAAATGGAATGAAATTTATTGGATATTTTCAACGTTTTAAATAAGATGTGGAGGATTGTGTGCCTGACGTTGATGTCTGTGGATGGCGTAGAAGATGCATACATATTTAGATGTTTAATAACAGGATTTCTACTGTTTGGAGTTGGCATATCGTGCATTGGGAAGACGTCGGGGCTGTTTTGGCCGTTGTCAGGCTGACCGGCATGGATGATGGGATCTGCAGAGCTATCTGCAGAACTGTAACATCTGTAGACGACATTGACCCAAGGCTTCATGGACTTACTTTGCAAACACACTGATGCTCAGATATGATTCACCTCTCATCCCTCTCATTTTTCATCCCGCCTGCAAGATCTCATGTTGCATCTGTATTTGCTGATGTGCTGTAGTTTTTTTTTTTTTTTGCAGTCTCAAACTGTATCCTGCTGAGGGTAAAGGGTGAAACATGATTTTTTTCCTCCCCTGACTTATTGTGATCCTTTCTTTTGTTTTTCTTACTGTAAGGCCAGCACCTTTTATGTCAGCAAGGCCTCGGACACCCTGTCTGCTCATTTATAATGTCTTTGTAATGTCTTTCTGTGTTTGTTTGTCTTGTTGGACAGGCTGAACCCGAACTGAATTCCCCTTCAGGGATTAATAAAGTATAATTGAATTGAATTGAAATAGATTTCCCAGCTTTAAACATCCCAAGGAGCTCTGAGCAGAGATGATACTGGAATGGAGGTAGAATCAAACCACTGGGAATCTATAAAGACCTGCTGTACCTCTGAACCTTCAGACTGATCAGAGATGCAGCCCAGAGGATCATGATCCCTCTGGATGAACTTCAGAGATCTACAGCTGAAGATAGAGACTCTGTCCATGGGACAGCAATCAGTGCTCCAAACATCCGATCTTTATGGAAGGAAGCTCTTTCTGAAAGATATCCATAAAAAGGTTTAAAGTTTCCTACCAGCCTCCTGGGAGACACAGCAAACATGTGGAGGAAGGAGCTCTGCTCAGATGGAACCAACATCCTAATTATGGCAACAAAGCAACACAGTCCATCACTTGAGCAGGGATGATGGTTCAAACTGATGGGAAAATCCTGTGTAGTCTGCAGACCTGAGAATGGGACGGAGATTTATCTTGATCCAAAACATGAAGCAGCATCTAGAATGGAACGTCTCATACAGAAACACATCCAGGTGTTACAATGGCCTAGTCAAAGTCCAGACCTGAAAACTGCTCTTCACAAACGCTGGGCATCCAACTTCACTGAGCTCCAGCTGATTGCAGGAAGAACTCTGATAGAGACAAACCCCAAAGGACCTGCGGCTGGAATCACAGCAGAAGGTGGCGCTAGATTATTATAGATTATTAAATCAAGGGGGAGGAAGAAGTAGCAAGGGTCTAAATTAAAAGGAAGCTTTGTTCCTTGCAGTCTGCTGTGTCTCAAACTGACCGTTCCCAGCTTCTGCACAGATGTTTTTCCTGTTAAGAAACTCTGCTAAATTTCTGCAAGGTCATCTTACACCCTTGTGACCTTCAAAAAATATACTGCTTGCTTTAAAAGAAAGAGATAAGTTGAACGCACAATTTTGCCTTCACGAAGTCTACACAGCAAATATTTCAGTATTTTTATTTGTTAACATTTTTTTTCAAATATCCAGTAAATTTAGTTCTATTTCATGATTGTGTCCCACTGGTTGGTTATTCTTCAATCTTTATGTTTGAAGCCTGAAAGGTGGCAAAAGGTCGAAAAGTTCAAGGGGGAGGGGGGGGAGAATACTTTAGCAAGGCACTGTATGTGGTTTGGTGGCTGAGGAGTTTAATTTTCCAATACTTTTCCAAAACTTTTGGTTATAACTCCCCACATCATCATTATTGATGTAGAAATGAAAAATAAATGGTTTCCCATGAAAACTGCTAAAGGAGCCAACTGAGCCAAAATGGCCACTTTGGACACCTGGCCTGGACCTCCAGTTAAAAACATCTCATTGCCTTTCCAGCTTTTTAGAAGGGTTAGAGGCTCTCTGTCATATGCTTAACTTTAAAGCAGAGGGACACTTCCAAAGCATAATTTCAGAAATTTGGTAATGCTGAAAGGTTTTTTTTTTGTTTTTTTGTTTTTCAGGTGAGAGTTGAAAACTTTCTGTGCCATCTTGGTTTACTCTTCCTGGTATTGGCCCTGAGGGAGTTCTGCTCATTCGGACCGGGATTCACTCTGTCTATTTCTGTTTGTCTGTAGGAAACCAGAGAAGGGGATCCAGTACCTGATGGAGCGGAGCTTTGTCCCGGACACCCCAGTGGGAGTCGGCCACTTCCTCCTACAGAGGAAAGGTCTCAGTCGGCAGATGATCGGAGAGTTCCTTGGTAACCGGCAGAAGCAATTCAACCGAGATGTTCTTGAGTGAGTGACCCGTTTAGGTCAGTTTGCCTTTTTTAACCCCCTAGAACCACCAGAACCTGGATGATCCTGGATGATGGTTGCTGTTTGGGAAGAACAGGAAGAGGCAAATAAATCAAGCTGAGCAGCTTTAGAGTCATTAAGCTTCAGAATCATCCCAGAATTATTCCTACTCCTGACCCGCCGTTACCAACCAGAACCTCCTGACCAGCCGTTACCAACCAGAACCTCCTGACCCGCCGTTACCAACCAGAACCTCCTGACCCGACATTACCAACCAGAACCTCCTGACCCGCCGTTACCAACCAAAACCTCTTGACCAGCCGTTACCAACCAGAACCTCCTGACCCGACATTACCAACCAGAACCTCCTGACCCACCGTTACCAACCAGAACCTCCTGACCCGCCATTACCAACCAGAACCTCCTGACCCGACATTACCAACCAGAACCTCCTGACCCGCCGTTACCAACCAAAACCTCTTGACCAGCCGTTACCAACCAGAACCTCCTGACCCGACATTACCAACCAAAACCTCTTGACCAGCCGTTACCAACCAGAACCTCCTGACCCGCCGTTACCAACCAGAACATCCTGACCCGACATTACCAACCAGAACCTCCTGACCCGCCGTTACCAACCAAAACCTCTTGACCAGCCGTTACCAACCAGAACCTCCTGACCCGACATTACCAACCAGAACCTCCTGACCCGCCGTTACCAACCAAAACCTCTTGACCAGCCGTTACCAACCAGGACCTCCTGACCCGACATTACCAACCAAAACCTCCTGACCCGCCGTTACCAACCAGAACCTCCTGACCCGCCGTTACCAACCAGGACCTCCTGACCCGCCGTTACCAACCAGAACCTCCTGACCCGCCGTTACCAACCAGAACCTCCTGACCCGCCGTTACCAACCAGAACCTCCTGACCCGCCGTTACCAACCAGAACCTCCTGACCCGACATTACCAACCAGAACATCCTGACCCGACATTACCAACCAGAACCTCCTGACCCGCCGTTACCAACCAAAACCTCTTGACCAGCCGTTACCAACCAGAACCTCCTGACCCGACATTACCAACCAGAACCTCCTGACCCGCCGTTACCAACCAAAACCTCTTGACCAGCCGTTACCAACCAGGACCTCCTGACCCGACATTACCAACCAAAACCTCCTGACCCGCCGTTACCAACCAGAACCTCCTGACCCGCCGTTACCAACCAGGACCTCCTGACCCGCCGTTACCAACCAGAACCTCCTGACCCGCCGTTACCAACCAGAACCTCCTGACCCGCCGTTACCAACCAGAACCTCCTGACCCGACATTACCAACCAGAACCTCCTGGCCCGCCGTTACCAACCAAAACCTCTTGACCAGCCGTTACCAACCAGAACCTCCTGACCCGACCTTACCAACCAGAACCTCCTGACCCGCCGTTACCAACCAAAACCTCTTGACCAGCCGTTACCAACCAGAACCTCCTGACCCGACCTTACCAACCAGAACCTCCTGACCCGCCGTTACCAACCAGAAACTCCTGACCCGACATTACCAACCAGAACCTCCTGACCCGCCGTTACCAACCAGATCCTCCTGACCCGCCTTTATCAACCAGAACCTCCTGACCTGCCGTTATCAACCAGAACCTCCTGACCCGCCGTTACCAACCTGAACCTCCTGACCCGACATTACCAACCAGAACCTCTCACTTCCTGCACCTTGGTGACCTCACTTCCTGTACTCTGCTGACCTCATTCCTGCGCTTTGCTGACCTCAATTCCTGCGCTTAACTTACTCACTTCCTGTGCTCTACTGACCTCACTTCCTGCCCTTTGCCGACTCACTTCCTGCACTTTGCTGACTAAATTCCTGTGCTTTGCTAACTCACTTCCTGTCTGAGCTACCTGATCAAAGTCGGCACTCTTGGGCCGCTGTCCTGCAGGTTTTTAACAGGCTTTTGCTGAGGTGCAAGAATCAGAATCGGGTGTGCTGAAGCAGGAAATCTGCAGGTCGGTGGCCCTTCAGGATCAACTTTGGACATACCTGATCTAGAGCATGTGTGTATGTGACTCAGGGCCCAAGGGCTCAATATGGCCGATATCTTCAGTTTACCATCCCCTCAGAGCCACAGACACATGCGTAGGTCAAGTGAACAAAAACAACAAAATAAATTGGAGTAAAGTTGTGGTACCAGAGTAGTGGACTCTATAAAGGAAAAGGTGAAATCATTGGTATAGCTACAGCCTCAGGATGCTAAGCATGAGTCCTGACCTAGAAGACGGAGCTTTTTGTATCTCTAAGCACCCCACTGGTTCTGAAGGAGTTTCCTTCACTATGTCTTGCACAATGCATATGGTGCTGAAAGGTTCAGTGTGACTTAAGGAGAAATGGCACCATGAAGTTTGAAGATGAAAGTCATCACTGACCCTTTTCTCTGTATGTGCCTCCAGCTGTGTAGTGGATGAGATGGACTTCTCTGGAATGGAGCTGGACGAAGGGTTGCGGAGATTCCAGGCGCATATCAGAGTTCAGGGAGAAGCTCAGAAGGTGGAGCGCCTGATTGAGGCCTACAGGTGAGAAATGTCTAGCAGACCGTCAGTCTGGCATGGATGGAAAACCTGAAGTTATACTCCAGTGTATTTACTATTACTGAGGAACAGTAACTTTTGACTGGGTCCATATGCAGAATAACATTTCTCTTTCTCTCTATTTCTGTCCAGCCAGCGCTACTGCATTTGCAATCCTGGAGTGGTCCGTCAGTTCAGGAACCCAGACACCATATTCATTCTGGCTTTCGCCATCATCCTCCTCAACACTGATATGTACAGCCCCAATGTGAAGCCGGAGAGGAAGATGAAGCTGGAGGACTTTGTTAAGAATCTTAGAGGTGTTTTCCTCTCTTTAGCTTCCAGCTAACAGTCACAGAATCAGGGTCTGACCTCAGTGGCATCAGCTCCTCCAGCCATAATTTGGACTTTTGATGGTTTCTTTTGTCACATTAAAGCCCAAAACCTTTGTGTTGATACTCATACTCAACTTATCAGGCACCAGGTTGGGAAAGCAGCTTTAGCAGAGACTCCCCAATTTCCTTAATCCCCAATATCTCCTTCAGATTTGGTGTTGGAGGCCAGAGTCGTACCCAGGCCGGCTGAGAGACATATTCCCTCCAGCATGTCCAGGAAGGCATGTCCGAGCCACCTAACCTCACTCCTTGATGTGGAGGAGGAGCAGCTCTACACTAAGCCTCTCCCTGATTACGTACATCCTCATCCTGTTTCTAAGAGAGTGGCACATCACACTGTAAAGCAATATCTGATGATCCACTTCATAGTAATGTTAATAACTGAAATTAATTGATCTCACATTGCAGAAATTTACCTCTACATCTAGCCATCCCCTTTGGGAACAGTGGGATGCCACTGTGCTGTGGGGTTAAGGATCTTGCTCAGGGACCCAGAGTGGCAGTCGGTGGGAATCAAACTGGGTTCTTGCAGCCTCTACAGTACAGCTCTAACAACAAGTCCAACACTCCCCATACCCCACTCCAAACACTCTGATCTTATTCTTTTTGTCGTTAATGAAAACCATCAAGCACCTTTCAGAGGACGTAAAGCTAGTCCAGTGATCCACTTAGCTCCAGAACACTGGCATAGGCCTTTCTGGGGAAGCTGAGAAGTTTATCATCTAACACAACATTTGGTCCCCCTTTATATGGAGCCAAACCCCTACCCCAGTCTGGCAGTCCTGGGGCATTGCCCTCAAATACCAAGCAATGCTGAAGAGTTGTGTCAGCAATGACAGCTCGGCAAGATTGAGAGCTCTGAAGTACTTAAGTGAGCTCTCATCTACCCCTGAAGCCATGTCTCTTCTTCTGATAAGGAAGGAACATCAGCTGGGTTATGGAGATCTTAAAAGTATTCCTTCCACTCTCCAACAATTTCCTCATTTACGGTCAGAACCCCATGAAAAGCCATTTTAACAAAGCTCTGGTTTCCTCTCTGAAGGAGCAAGATGCCAGAATCACTTTTAGGCCAACCAATTGTCCTTCTCCATGGCCTCTCCAAACTCCTCCCTAGCCCATGTTTATGCCTCTGCAATTACCTGGACAGTACCATGCTTGACTGCATTGTACCCACTTGTTGCCTTAGAAGTCCCAAAACGCTGGTTAGGATCCCTGATTTTGGGTGTCCACCACTAGGTTAGGTGGTTCGGGGGATGGCCACAGTTACAGGTATCACAGACCTCACAGCTACAGCTACTATCAGCCGCAATGACAATTAAGGCAGAGAACAATCTCCACTCAGAGTCTATTATCTAAGCCTACTGTGGAATTTGAACATGTCCATTAATGAGGGTTCAGCCAGACATTTCCAGGGGACACAGCTAATGCCAGAAAACTCATTTGGTTCTGCTGACTCTGCCTGGCTTCCTTCTCCTTTAACTCACCACAAGGTGGTGATCAGTGGAAAGCTTGTTCTCTCTTTTCACCCGAGTGTCCAAGATATACTGCTGAAGGTTGGAAGATAGGACTACAAAATGGATCACAACCTCCAGGCCTAGGTGTCCTTTTGCCTAAGGCATCGGTGCACATCCTGATGCTTGAACATGGTGTTCATTTTATACAGTCCATGTCTTGCACAAAAGTCTACTAATCAAAGAGTGCTAGGGTTCTGAGATGGGGGTCTGCTCCTCCTGATCACAGCCTTCCAGGTGTCACTGTCATTACCCACAAAGATGTTAAAGTCTCCCAGCAGAATGATAGGAGAGGCGTGCTATCCAACAGTTGGCAGTTTGGAGCAGAACCAAATAAAAGGATGAATGTAAATTCATGAGTTATTTACATTACAGATTATGTGGAAATCCATAACCTCTTTCTCTTTCTATACACCCTCTGACAGGCGTTGACGATGGGGAAGATATACCCCGAGAGATGCTAGTAGGGATCTATGAGCGGATCCGTAAACGTGAGCTCAGGACTAATGAAGATCATGTCTCCCAGGTCCAGAAGGTGGAAAAGCTGATTGTTGGGAAAAAACCAGTAAGTTTGCCCCCAACCTGCTCTTGCATGTATAGTGGTACTACTGTCGTCCTGCTTATGGGCTGGATGAAGCCATCCATAAACTTTAGCCTGGGTCATAACTCGTTCCAAGGGTGTATAAGTGTTTGTTAAGGTTGAAATTTTATTGTCCGGGTTGGTGAAAGTCTTTTGGGGTTGTGGAATGTTTCTGGGGTTGCGTTAGGGAATATTTTCTTGGGTTTGTTGTTTGAATGTTTGTTGGGGTTGGGCATTGGTAAATATTTTTTGGGGTTGGTGATTTTTTTTGTGGTTGATGAATTTTTTTGGGAACGGGGATTTTGTGAATGTTCGTTGGGGGCGGGGGTAGGTAAATCTTTTTGGGGTTGATGAATGTTAATTGGTGTCGGTTAATGTTTGTTTGGGTTAGTGAATGTTTGTTGGGGTCTGTAAATGTGTGTTTAAGCTAGTTAATGATTTTTGGGTAGATAATTTTTTAGGTTGGTAAAATATTTCTTTTCTAACTTCTTCTCATAATTTCTCCAAACTGCAGATCGGCTCCCTACACCAAGGTTTGGGCTGTGTAAGTATTGCTATTATGCTGTTTGTAGCGTCCTGCTGGACCGTGGATTGGTTCTGTTCCACTCATTTCTCTCAGCGTATTTTCTCTGGATTTTATCGGACAGAGCAAAACGCAGAGTATCATTGTGGGATGAAGAAATTGATATCAAAGGTGTATGGTTATTTCATTGGTATATCTCCACACTTCTCAAGAGTCTATTGCAAGGTTCTTCAGATGCAGTCCTGGAAGTCCCTGTCCAGCATGTCCTAGATTTGTCACTTCTTCCAGGCCTTAATCAAGTGGCTGAATGATGTCCTCGGGATGCAGCCGGGTCCTTCAGAGACCTGCAAATTACCTTATTACTGAACTTACCTGTGGAAGCAGAGATACATCTGAAAGGAGCAGAACACCAGACCTCCAGGAGCAGAAGTTTTATGCTTGTTAAATATGCTGGTGGAGATTCTGTCAACCAGGTCATAGTCCTTCCAAAAAAGTTTAAAAACAATCCACTGGACTTTGTTTCCAGGTTTGAAGATGTTTTGCTTCACATCCAGGAAGCTTTTTTAAATCAAAATATCAGAAATAGCGTTGAACCTGTTTAGACCCTAACGACCATTTAACCCTCCCAGGTGACCTCTTTAGCAAATCCAGTAGGAAGGATCAGAGCCTCCTTTGTTTTTTTAGTTCCCCCTAATTCTTTTATTATTGTTAGTCTCACTTTGACTTTCTAACATCCTTGGGAATATCAGAAAGATTTCTCTTAGCACAGTCCCTGTTGTTCCACAGAAGATGTTTTATAAACTGATCAGAGGATCCAAACATTGGCACAAATGGAAAAGAATTACTTAAACCCTGCTGAGATCCTCCCACCTCTTTCCTTCTGTGTGATGTGATTGGCTCCTGTCTCGTGGAGACCATGGACCTGTTCAACCACACCAGCTCTGTGCCCGGCCTTTGAAAGGTGCTACTATTGAACTCTTCCCACCCAGACTCTGATGGGTCTCCCTCTAAATGAGTGTCCAGTGATGTCCTCAGGGGGATTTACACAAACACAGCCAGCTTTTCAGGTTCCTCCACGATGAGGGAAGCCCTGTTTGCTCTGTCACATAAAGTCCCAGGAATACTGACTGAAATCTGTGGTTGGAAAGAGAAAGTGAAAAAGTTAAGAATGAATGAACACCTATGAGCCCAGAAGTCCAGCATTAACTCTGAGATGTTTCTGTCTTCTTGAAGGTGCTTTCACTGCCCCACCGCAGGCTGGTCTGTTACTGCAGGCTGTTTGAAGTACCAGATCCCAACAAACCCCAGAAGCTGGGCGTCCACCAGAGGGAGATCTTCCTCTTCAATGACCTGCTAGTGGTACGGCTCTTCCAGTGCCAGGAGATGGAGATGGATATGCTTTGACCCCAGTCTCAGCAGACCGCATCTTTTTTGTTCTCAGGTCACCAAGATCTTTCAGAAGAAGAAGAACTCAGTGACTTACAGCTTTCGGCAGTCCTTCTCGCTCTACGGCATGCAGCTGCTGCTGTTTGAGAACCAGTGTGAGTATCAGCAGTGCTGGTTTCCGTGGTTTGGAACGGTTAGCTGGTTTCTTTCACTGTTAGCAGAGAAAAAACAAGGATAGATTCAGGCTTCCACCTTCTGAGGTTCAGTCTGGGTGTTTCCTGTAGCTAACCTGTACTGGTGCTGGAACAGGTTCCTAACTGGTTTTAAGAAAACACACCAGTTCTGCACAGCTTGAGAGTGTTCTCAGAGCCACAGGCTGATGATGTCACTTCCTGTAAATGTTCCATCAGTTTTAGTCTGACGGTCGGCAGTATAAAACATTGGTTCCATTAACCAGGATCACTGAGGATGAGATCAGTCTAGAATAGTTTGCTATATCTTTTTTCCCCAGGTAAGGTTATCCTTCCACTAAACTTAACATTGTAACCATTTCCTTTCCATGAAGCACAAACTCCAACCTGAAGTTCTGGCTGTTCTGGCTTTAGATCCGGTGTAACACCCGAACCCAAAATGTTCCCATCCCATAGATAGGGACTCCAGGGCTGGCTGTTGTAGATTCCTCTCCCCAGTCTATTATCTCCTCACCCTAACTTCACTGGACTCAGACCTGAGTCCAAAGGTTCCTGGTTCTCTCTGTGGTTCTCTGGACTCCAGCAGAATGGTTCAATGACCCATTCCGGATCAAATGGATCTACGTTCCTTTTAGGGATGCACAATATTGGGATTTTGGCCGATATCCGATATTTTAAAACTCATGTAGCCGATAACCGATATCGATACCGATGTTAAAGCTGGACAAAAATAAGTAGTCATTGAAAATAGCAGTTTTGTTATCCATTTCTGACACTTTGAAAAATAATATACTCAAATATATTTTCATATGCTGATATCAAATTGATTTTTAAAAACGCGGTATCGATCTATTTTACTTTCAAAATCTCGTGAAATTTCATCGTTCTGTTACAAACTCTCGTGATATTTTGAAAATTCTTGTGAGATTTTGTTAGTAAAATAGATTGATACCGCGTCAATATATCAACATATAAAAATATGGCAAAATTTCATGAATTTTCGGGGGATTTCGTAGCATAACGATGACATATAGCAATATTTCATTAGTAAAAGAGATTGATATGGTGTTTTTAAATGGCAATATATCAGCATATGAAGATATTGGGATATTTTAATGTATCAATATTTTTTCCCTCGTCTTTAGAAGTTTTTAAGTCTGTAAAAAAGAAGTTTTTGAGGAAGAAGAAGAAGTAGTATTTTTGTTTATTTAGACTTTAGAAACTCAGAAGCTGATCAAATATCGGGTTAAATATCAGTGGGGGGGCCGATGTCCGATATTCAGTTTTAAGGCCGATACCGATAGGGGGCCGATTATATCGTACATCTCTAGTTCCTTTATCTTTCATTTGTTCCGGAATGTCTTTTGATCTCTGCATAATATTTAGCTTTGAAGACCATAAGGTTCACTTCATGTTGCTGGCGGGTTTCAGGGATTTCTGAAGGAGGCCCAATGGGGCAGTGATTGGACCTGGGGGGTCTACCATTCCCACCGTCCACTGCTAACACGGTGCAGCAAGGATTAACCATTTATTTTGAGTTTTACACTAGATGCTGACCCAACAGTTGGACTATTTCAGCCCAAGCAACGTTTCTGAGCAGTGAGCTGGTTCTGATTAGTCCTCACTGTTAATTCTGACTGGAGCACTACCAGGAAGGTTCTGTAGTATGTCATTCCACATGTTCTCCATATAAAGCCAGAGTCCTCCTTAGTTCTGCAGAGTTCTTATTGCCTCTGTAGAAAAAAAGAGCCCCTCTGTAACTCAATGTGCTGTGGAACAAAACTCCCACCTTGAGCTACAGTTTAAGCCAATTTATATTCACAGACACTGAAACATGTTGAGATGCTGCCAGTTTAATGACAACTTATAGCTTCATTTTTGGGTAGAATTGATTGATTGATTGACTTTATTGATCTCACAGTTGAGAAAGCCTAAATAGTCATAAAGGGAAGAAGAAGAAGGTGCCAAAGTAAGAAAAGGTGCATGGGATATATACAGTGTATACAGCGCATCCAAATATGACAGTTTTTTTTTTTTTTTTTATAGCAGGATTATTATACAGGGAGTATGAAAGGAGTCCATGCATTTGATTTTTTGTGTTTTTTTTAAAAACAAAAAAAACAAAAACAAAATTGTCCTGTCTGGCAATGTGGTAATAAGAATAATTGTCTTGATGCCAAAAAGAGCCCAACAGATTTTACTTTTACAAGTGGAGCAGTACGGCTATCGCCATAGTGTTCCTCTTGATTTAAGCATATAAATTGTTTTACTATAATTATGCAGGGATTATTACAGATTACCGTATATGGACACTGCAATATACATAGAACAGAAGAGGAAAACAGAAAAATAGTAGAAAAGATTAAAGAAAGAGAAGATAAAAGGGAGATAATGATAAAACATTTTCAGTCTGCTTCATCACCTGCAAAGAGATGTTAAAAGAACAGCACAACCAACAGACATGGTACGAAACATACAATAAAGTAACACCTAGATACTATCGCTGAAGTAGTATTATTTATTCTGACATGTACTCTGTGTTACCTGGAGATAAGAATGTGGGCTTTCTGTATGAAAGCTTCTAGTTAGAGTGGCTCAGGTTATCCTGAGCTATCTCTATAGTTCTGCTGCTATAGGCTTAGACTGCTGGAGGACATAGGGACCCCTTTTTCATCATTCTGCTTCATTCTATCTCTATTCTCCCACTCTGCAGAATCTGTTAGTTCTATCTCTAACGTTCTGCTCTCTCTGCTCTTTCTCATAGTAGCTTCATCTGGTCTGTTCCTGTTTGGCTGTGACTCCATCCTGGAGAGAAATATCAGCTGTGCTGCTGCCATCAACACCTTTGTTTCTAGATGTTGGAGCTTGGCCTGTTTTCCAGTGTAGTCCTGTTTCTCTGACTGTGACTAACTGGATGTGCTCTCTTCATCCTCTGACATGGGAGCTGGCTCGGAGCTCGTCTGCCTGGCTGTGTGTTTCCTGGACGGGGCCGCCTGTGGAGCTGGTTGACAGTTGCCTTTTGTATCTAGGCTTCTTTTTCTATGTCTGCTTCTTTCTCCTTGAACCCCAGTCGGCCTCAGCAGATGGCCGCTCACACTGAGCCTGGTTCTGCTGGAGGTTTCTTCCTGTTTAGTGTGAGGGATTGCTGAAGATTTAATGAGTCGATGCAATCAGCTGGTTTTCTTTAGATTGAAATTTTGAACTGTAAAGTGCCTTGAGATGACATGATGTGAATTGGAGCTATAGAAATTAACTGCATTGATTTGAATGTTGTTAAGAGGGGGATCTCAGCCGCGGTGACACCGTTAAAAGCTAGAAACGCCTCATTTGGGACTGCTATTCATGATATGCGGGATGCTAATGATCAGTAGAGGAGGCTACCTACCCTGGAAGCTGTTGTCTGTAGAGGTTGTGGAAGATGCATGAAAATAAACTGAATAGAATTGAATTCCAGTCTCAGTTGCTGCCATGGTTTTCTTTCTTCTCAGATTATCCAAACGGCGTTCGCCTGACTTCCGCAATTCCTGGATCAGACATCAAGGTCCTCATCAACTTCAACGCCCCCAATCCTCAGGATCGCAAGAAATTTACTGATGATTTACGAGAATCTATTGCTGAAGTTCAAGAGATGGAGAAATGCCGCATAGAGTGTAAGCTGAGCTTTTCTCTGGTCTCTCTTCATGTTCTTGTTCATTTTGAATACACTCCATAACAGAGGCTCTGATCCTGCATCATGTCTGTCTGCTGCACAGCTGAACTGGAAAAGCAGAAGGGTTTGGTGAGGCCCAGCATGTATCAGTGTTCCGGGTTAAAATCTGAGGCTGGAAACGGTAACCTGAGCCGAGCCAGCCTGGATGACAGCTATGCCATCAGTGAGGGTCTGAAGAGGAGCGCGCTCAGCAGTTCCTTGCGGGATCTCTCGGATGCAGGTAAAGTCCAGCAGTCCCCATTCTTTAGTTGCAGGCGTCTTTCTGAGGTTCTTAGTACATCTGGAAAAAGTTTAAATGGTGGATGTAACAATCTGACTGCCAGTAAATATACTTAGTTCAGTAGAGGTCAGAGTGACCACTGAGAGGGCACCTCATCTAAAAACCAGCCTGTCCTGAGATCAGTCCTGAGATCAGTCCTGGGATTGGTCCTGGTGTAATTTCTTAGATCACTGTTGGAATCAGGTGTGAGATTGGTCCTGAGTTCGTCTTTGGATCTTTCCTGAGATTTTTCCTGGGATTACTCCTGGGATCAGTCCTCAGATCAGTCATGGGATCAGTCTGGAGATCAATCCTGGAATAAGTCCTGGGATCCGTCCTGGGTTTATTTCTTAGATCAGTATTGGATTCAACCCTAGGGATCAGTCTGGAGATCAGTCCTTAGCTCAATCCTTGGATAAATCCTGGGATCACTCCTTGGATTGGTCCTGGGATCAGTCCTGGGATTGGTCTTAGGATCAGTCCTGGGATTGGTCCTGGGATCAGTCCTGGGATTGGTCCTGGGATCAGTCCTGGGTTTGGTCCTGGGATCAGTCCTGGGTTTGGTCCTGGGATCAGTCCTGGGATTGGTCCTGGGATTGGTCCTGGGATCAGTCCTGGGTTTGGTCCTGGGATCAGTCCTGGGATCATTCCTTGGATTGGTCCTGGGATCAGTCCTGGGTTTGATCCTGGGATCAGTCCTGGGTTTGATCCTGGGATCAGTCCTGTGATTGGTCCTGGGATCGGTCCTGGGATCAGTCCTGGGTTTGGTCCTGGGATCAGTCCTGGGATTGGTCCTGGGATCACTCCTTGGATTGGTCCTGGGATCAGTCCTGGGTTTGGTCCTGGGATCAGTCCTGTGATTGGTCCTGGGATCGGTCCTGGGATCGGTCCTGGGATCAGTCCTGGGATTGGTCCTGGGATCACTCCTTGGATTGGTCCTGGGATCAGTCCTGGGTTTGATCCTGGGATCAGTCCTGGGATTGGTCCTGGGATCACTCCTTGGATTGGTCCTGGGATCAGTCCTGGGTTTGGTCCTGGGATCAGTCCTGGGATTGGTCCTGGGATCACTCCTTGGATTGGTCCTGGGATCAGTCCTGTGATTGGTCCTGGGATCGGTCCTGGGATCGGTCCTGGGATCAGTCCTGGGTTTGGTCCTGGGATCAGGCCTGTGATTGATTCTGGGATCGGTCCTGGGATCAGTCCTGGGTTTGGTCCTGGGATCAGTCCTGGGTTTGGTCCTGGGATCAGTCCTGTGATTGGTTCTGGGATCGGTCCTGGGATCGGTCCTGGGATCAGTCCTGGGTTTGGTCCTGGGATCAGTCCTGGGATTGGTTCTGAGATGTGAGATGTCAAATTTAGACATCTTAAGTTTCCTCTGCAGGCTCCAGATAGACGTAGACCTTTAGCATGTCCCGCAGCAGACAGAAGGGAGCCGTGCACCTCCATGTTTAATCCACACATGTCTAATCTGTCGTGTCACGTGTTCTGGACAGGAAAGCGTGGGAGACGCAGCAGTGCAGGATCACTAGACAGCAACCTGGAAGTAAGTAGGAAGCAGCTGCACAGGTTTTAGTAGATCTGCTGTTTCTGTTTGCTGTGTTCTGCTTGGCTGTGTTTGCATGGAAACCACGCTGTGGCTGCTGCACTAGAGTCTGCTCTTACTCTGCATGACTAGACCTGCTAGCTTAGACTTCTGCTCCTGCTCTGCTGTGCGCACACCTTCACCTGCAGCTGTAGAGGCTGAATGTAACCCACCAGCTACAGGAGCAGGAAGACGATGCTCTGCATCTTCCCCCTCACTGTCACACTTATCCAGTCTACAAAGGTCTGCTCGTCATCATCATCTTCTTCATTGGATGTAAATGTTGCATTGTTTACTCCTTCATGTTTGTCTCACCATTTTATCTTCACAAACTAAATATGTCTGTAAAGACGTAGGCTGGGAATTAAAGTTTACACATCCCAGATAAAAAGCCAGGATTTGATGATGTCAAGAACAGACCTTGATGAACCTTTTCTAAACTCAAATCCAGAGATGTGGATGAATTCTAGAGGAATTCCTTACAGGACGCAAACACCTGCTACCACCAGAAGGGGGCAGCTTCCTGCAGCATATCTGTTCGATTTCCGGGACAGTGCATGAGTGGTGAAGTCCAAACACCTTACGGGGTTTGTTCATAACCACTATTTGCTTTTTAAACAAAACCTTCCTGAAACCTGAAACCTTCTTGCACCTGAGGGCGAATCACTATGAGCATCTTCTGATCCAGCATTTGCTTCATCTTAGCAGCAGTCCACTTCTTTTCTGGGTGATTATCAGAACCAGCTTTACTCACTAGGTGTGTGCGCAAATGAATAATTCAACTCTGTATGAGAACAATCTGAGCTGGCAGTTCTGGACCCTTCCACCATAACATCCAGGAGAGTTTTGATAAGTGGAGGCTGAATCCAAAATAACACTTTTTGTTTTAAGAGCAGGAATTTGCCGTCAGGCTTTGAGTCTTTTCTTGCTGGCTCCATGTGGCGAGTCCAATATGTGTTGGCCTTTTCTGCCTTGAAGCGAGTGTTCACATCCAAGATATTATCCCATCTCACCTTTGAGTTCAACCACCGCTGCCAACCTGTGTTCAGTAGCACCCATCATACGACTCAGCTCACAGTCCTGCTTGTTCACAGCGTATCAACCGCTGCCAGCAGCCTGATCAATGCCCAAATTGTCGCCAACATCTTCTGTAATTGTAGATACATCACATACCCTCCAATTCCAAACAAAAGAAATTTGAGTATCATAAATCCAAAAATCCATGCATCCTCTACTGACAACAGCTTCCAGGGTAGGTAACCTTCCTCTCCTGATCATTAGCAGCCCGCTCCATATCATGAATAGCAGTCCCAAATGAGGCAATTTTGGCTTCTAACGGTGTCACAGCGGCTGAGATCTCCCTCTTAACAACATTCAAATCAATTCAGTTTATCTATATCTCAAATTCACAACACATGTCATCTCACTGCAAAAAACATCTAGAAATAAGTAAAAAATGTCTTAAATTAAGTGTATTTACCCTTAATTTGAGCAGGCAAACAAGATGATTTGCCAATGGAATGAGTATTTTTACTCCTAAAATAAGATAATTAGATAATATACACTTGAAATAAGACAAAGCAATTGTTTTTTCTTATTTTAAGTGTAAATTGTCTTGTTCCATTGGCAAAGTGTCTCACTTACCTCCTGAATTCAATAAAAAATGCACTTAATTTGAGTAAAAATGACTTATTTAGAGTTCCATTTTTTGCAGTGTTTAAGGCACTTTCCAGTTCACCAGATCATCCAGTCAAATTGATTCAAAGTTTTCTATCTAAGGAAAACCAGCTGATTGCATCGACTCATTGACTGTTCAGCAATCCCTCACACTAAGCATGTTTGTAGCGACAGTGGAGAGGAAAAACTCCCTTTGAACAGGAAGAAACCTCCAGCAGAACCAGGCTCAGTGTGAGCGGCCATCTGCTGAGGCCGACTGGGGTTCAAGGAGACAGAAGCAGACATAGAAAAAGAAGCATAGATACAAAAGGCAACTGTCAACCAGCTCCACAGGCGGCCCCGTCCAGGAAACACACAGCCAGGCAGACGAGCTCCGAGCCAGCTCCCATGTCAGAGGATGAAGAGAGCACATCCAGTTAGTCACAGTCAGAGAAACAGGACTACACTGGAAAACAGGCCAAGCTCCAACATCTAGAAACAAAGGTGTTGATGGCAGCAGCACAGCTGATATTTCTCTCCAGGATGGAGTCACAGCCAAACAGGAACAGACCAGATGAAGCTACTATGAGAAAAAGCAGAGAGAGCAGAACGTTAGAGATTGAACTAACAGATTCTGCAGAGTGGGAGAATAGAGATAGAATGAAGCAGAATGATGAAAAAGGGGTCCCTATGTCCTCCAGCAGTCTAAGCCTATAGCAGCAGAACTATAGAGATAGCTCAGGATAACCTGAGCCACTCTAACTAGAAGCTTTAAGGCAAGGCAAGTAGCTATGTCCTTTTTCCCCATGTCTAACATTGGTACTTACAAGTTGAACATGAGATATGTATCTTCATTCACTAATAGTCCAATTTGCTCCAAAAAAGACTCAGACTTAGCTTTAATTATCACTTGGGATTACCCCTTAAGGGAAATCCTGGTTCCAGTAGCCTGTATAGAGTTAAAGCAAGATGCCATTAAATATAAAAAAATACAGTCAATACATAAAGAGTGTATATAGTACAAAAAAGCTTAAAAGAAAGAAAAGAGTTGTGATGTCCTGGAATATGTTTCCCTTAGATATAAAGATATCTGCCCAGTAGAGAGCTAAGGGAAGACTACATAGTAGTTGCCTTATATTATTGAACTTGTATTACAGAGATGGACTGACCCTATAAATAAGTAAAGAATTACTCAGGCTACACAGTAGATGTCATTTGTTAATGCACAGTGAGAGAGAAGAATATTGCATATGAGTGACAATAGGTCATGTTTAGCATCAGATGTCCAAGGAGGGGGGTGCTGACCCTTGTCCCTCTTCCTATCACCTCCTCCTTCCTAGTTGTACAGCTATTCTTAGATTCTGCTATAGATGCAGATTAGCGGTAGGGGAGTGCTGATAGTCTGTGCTGGATGTCATGTTGGTCTGCCTCACCCTCTGACTCCTGTCAGTCAGCACGTTTGTGATCCACTGACTGCTGGAGGCTGGTACAGAGCTGGGCGACTTTGGATCTGAGGATGTCTGAGATGATGTCCTTTAAGTTGAGCTAAAGTCCACAGACAGGTTCCTTGTTTAGTTCCCTAAAGGGCCAGTCTGATCTGACTTAGAAACTGCTGGGAGAGGTGTGATTGGTTCCAGCAGTGTTGGAGGGAGCGGGGGTGGGATCTCCTGTCATCACTAAGGCTACGTTCACTCAGCAGGCTAAAATGACACAAATCCTATTTTTTTTCCCCATATGCAACCTGGATTTGATCTTTTTAATGAAAGTCTGAACAACACGGGTCCGACGCTTTTCAATGCGACCCAGGCACCTTGGCTATGTGGTCCTGAATCCGATACGAATCTGATCTTTTAAAATGCGACCTGTGTCTGAACGGCCAGGTCAGATTGATGCGACCTGATTAATGACCCATTGATACACAAATCAAAGGTCGCTATTCTGGGTCTTGTTACTCAGAAGCAGGAAGAAAAACAACAACCATGGCGGATGATGATGATGCGGAGAGCAGCATTTACGTTTAACCATCTGGAAAAGTTTGAGGTTTTCTGGTTGGAAAAGACCGCTAGATGTGCTCCAGTGCTACCATCCATGTTTACTTCCGTAAACACAGAGCAGGATGGCTTGGGATGTCATTGCGTCCTCTACTGCGCTAGCGCTAGCACTTGCACTTGCGTTGTATGACTGCATTTACACAGGAGATGACACAAAAGTTGCACATATTTTGAAATGTGATCAGCAACGCAAAAAAGACCGTAATTGAGCATCAAGGCCTGCAGTGTGAACGTGGCCTAGGTGTCTTTAGGTCCGTCCACACTGACACAGTGTCACAGGCTTGGAAAAGCATTCTGGTCCATCTCTGCATGCTGTTGGTTTCTGCCTGTGTGTCGTGATTCAAAGGACCAGAGAGACCAAAGCCTATATGGGGACAAAGCAAACCTTTATTAACTGTCGCAGAAAAACTATGTGTTAGCATCTCTGCTGGGACACTGCCACCCTCCCCAGGTTTGCCATCCAGGACCAAACGGGGGGCCAGGATGGATCCTGTAGGTTACAGCTCCATACAGTTAGTTTAAAATCTCTTCATCTCTAAAGATGACCTCAGCTGGTTTACTGTAAGACGAGAATGACTCCAAACCTGCCCCACAGGCTGGGTCAAACCTTCAGGTCAACATTTCTTTGTCTGCAGGGAGTGTTTCCAGATTTATAGATAAGTTACAGGAAAAAAAGATAAAATCTCTGACCTCCAAATGAATATTTAAAATCAGAAATGATTTTTGTTTACGATTCTCACTCTTGCTGCATGTGTGTGTGTTTGTGTCTGTGTGTGGGGGGGGGGTCTTAGGCTGGTTCTGAAGACGTTCTGTGTTCTCCTTCACAGGGCTCCATCATTAGCAGTCCTCACAGGAGGACCCCCTCTGGGAGGGACTGCCCATCACGCCACAGTGGATATTCCCTGCCCAGCTCCTCCTCACTGATGGGCTCTCTGTTTGGCACCAGAAGACTCAAGTCTCCAAGCCCCACTCCCCAGCTTCCTCATCCCACCCTCATCGCCCACAACCCTCATCCCCCCAACCTGCACCAAACATCCCGGGAGGAGACAGACACACCGATCCCCTTGCATTCATCCCATGCCCAGTTCTGCCACATGAGCCAGAACCCCCCGCCTTACCACCACCACCATCACTACCACCCACCACCCCACCTGCAGCACGCGCCCAACCAGTTCCACCCAGCTCCAGCTCACAGCCAGCAGCCACCCTACCAGCCACAGCACAACCTGGGGGGGGGCCCTGCCCAGAGCCCCCACCTCCATGGCCCCTCGCCACCACTGTCCCAGGTGTCTGGGAGCACAAAGCCCAAGCACAGCGGCATCAGTACCGTGGTTTGAACTGGAACCTGATCAGATCTTTTCACTGTGCATCTCTGACCTGCAGATGTGAACCTAGACTGGAACCAGACTGGAGTCAGACTGGAGTTAGACTGGAGTCAAACTGGAGACAGACTGGAGTCAAACTGGAGTCAGACTGGAATCAGACTGGAGACAGACTGGAGACAGACTGGAGTCAGACTGGAGTCAGACTGGAGACAGACTGGAGTCAGACTGGAGACAGACTGGAATCAGACTGGAGACAGACTGGAGACAGACTGGAGTCAAACTGGAGTCAGACTGGAATCAGACTGGAGTCAGACTGGAGACAGACTGGAGTCAAACTGGAGTCAGACTGGAGTCAGACTGGAGTCAAACTGGAGACAGACTGGAGTCAGACTGGAGTCAGACTGGAGACAGACTGGAGTCAAACTGGAGTCAGACTGGAGTCAGACTGGAGACAGACTGGAGTCAGACTGGAATCAGACTGGAGTCAGACTGGAATCAGACTGGAGACAGACTGGAGACAGACTGGAGTCAGACTGGAGTCAGACTGGAGACAGACTGGAGTCAGACTGGAGACAGACTGGAATCAGACTGGAGACAGACTGGAGACAGACTGGAGTCAAACTGGAGTCAGACTGGAATCAGACTGGAGTCAGACTGGAGACAGACTGGAGTCAAACTGGAGTCAGACTGGAGTCAGACTGGAGTCAGACTGGAGACAGACTGGAGTCAGACTGGAGACAGACTGGAGACAGACTGGAGTCAAACTGGAGTCAGACTGGAGTCAGACTGGAGACAGACTGGAGTCAAACTGGAGTCAGACTGGAATCAGACTGGAGTCAGACTGGACACAGACTGGAGTCAGACTGGAGTTAGACTGGAGTCAAACTGGAGACAGACTGGAGTCAAACTGGAGTCAGACTGGAATCAGACTGGAGTCAGACTGGAATCAGACTGGAGCCAGACTGGAGACAGACTGGAGACAGACTGGAGTCAAACTGGAGTCAGACTGGAATCAGACTGGAGTCAGACTGGAGTCAGACTGGAGACAGACTGGAGACAGACAGGAGTCAAACTGGAGTCAAACTGGAGTCAGACTGGAATCAGACTGGAGACAGACTGGAGTCAAACTGGAGTCAGACTGGAATCAGACTGGAATCAGACTGGAGTCAGACTGGAGACAGACTGGAGTTAGACTGGAGACAGACTGGAACCAGACTGGAGTCAGATAGGAGTCAGGCTGGAACTAGACTGGAGTCAGACTGGAGTCAAACTGGAACCAGACTGGAGTCAGACTGGAATCAGACTGGAGTTAGACTGGAGTCAAACTGGAACAAGACTCGAGTCAGACTGGAATCAGAATGGAGTTAGACTGGAGTCAAACTGGAACAAGACTCGAGTCAGACTGGAATCAGAATGGAGTTAGACTGGATTTAGACTGGAACATGGACTTGGGTCTCCACTGTGTGTCTCCTGACATTAAATCTTTGTCTCCCTGAGGTTTCCTGCATGCCATGAGACCGCTGTGCTGTTGGAGGGAGTGGAGGTAATAAAGGACTGAGATCAGCTGTCCTCCATCCTCCTCCAGAGGGATCCAATCATCTGATGTAGCATAGTTCAGTGATACCTCTGGATTGTTAGTAGCTCATAATGTGCCATTCACTGACAGCATTTATTCATTGTCACTAAAATGCTTCCTCTCTGCTGTGAAAACATTAGTAGAATAATCATATCAGCCAACCATTGGCTCCAGTTTAACGCCCAGTTAAGTAGCATTAGGGACCAGAATGAAACTTTTACAGGAAGCTGAAGCATGATGTTGAAGTTTCCCAGTCATTCCGGTCATAGTCGTTCCAAAAAAAGGTTAAAACACTCTACTGGAGTTTGTTTCCAACTTTGAAGATGTTCCGCTTCCCATTCAGGAATACTTTTTAGCTTTTCTGACATCTTGAATAGAAAAAGCTTCCTGGATTGGAAGAGAAACCTCTTCAAACTTGGAAACAAACTCCAATTATCTTACTGGTTGCCATGGCTACAGCAGGCTGCTGTCTGATTAGGGGGGAAAAGATTTCATGCTTTTCTCAACTCAAACAACAGTTTTATATCAATGATCCAGCTCATATATTATGGGATGACTGGTTGCTGTGCAGCACTTTCTGTTCAAATATCAACAGATGAAGTTAGTTTTATTTATGTGCAATATGAGTTTTTTTCTTTAACTTATTTTTTGGAAGGATGTTTGTTGTTCTGCTTTGAGATGTTTAGTTTAGTATTCTTGTGTCCTCAGACCTCAGTGTTTTACCCCAAGACTGTCTCTGTTGGGCCGCTCAGTCTGCTTTATCATTGGCTGCTGTACAAGGTCCAACCATCTGTAACAAAGAAGAGCAAAAATAAAAGTAAGACATGTTGGGCTGCAGATGAAGTTCAGTTTAGACCTTTGATATATGAGAAATCCTCAGTAAAAGGAAATATCCAAACCAAGAGACATGAACAGTTTGTTTTATTTATTTTACAAGAAATCTCCATCAAACACGGCAAGTTAATTAACGACCTTCGGTTTGATTAACGACCAAACCGACGGTTTGATTAACGACCAAACCGACGGTTTGATTAACGACCAAACCGACGGCTTGATTAACAACCAAACCGACGGTTTGATTAACGACCAAACCGACGGTTTGATTGACGACCAAACCGACGGTTTGATTAACGACCAAACCGACGGCTTGATTAACGACCAAACCGACGGTTTGATTAACGACCAAACCGACGGTTTGATTAACGACCAAACCGACGGCTTGATTAACGACCAAACCGACGGTTTGATTTTTCAGGGCGCAGAACAGCGGACCAAGAATTCAAGCCAGACAGATAGTCAGATTTCTCAAAAAGCGTTTATATAAAAATGACGGATTGGCAGTGGGAACCTCTGCAGGAGGGACAGACAGGTTAGTGATCACGTTCATCTGGCGTAGGATGATTAGTACCACGTGAGTCATGAACCTGGTCTTAAAGTTCAGGCCCTGCCCATTGGAAGAGGTTTATGGGAGTCCAGGCCTGAAGTTCAGAGATCCGGAGAGGTACTGAAGAGAAATCTAGGTGGGTGTCAGGAAGCAGATCCAGGTCTGAAGACAGGTCAGGCAAACAGATCAGAATGGGAACAGGCAGGCTCAGAGGTCCAAAGGCAGAATAGCTCAGGATCAGGCAATCAGGAACACCATCAGGTACGCTCAGGTGTGCCGCCAGTAATTTGGGATGAAAGAGATTGATATTACCCCCCCCCCCCCCCCAAAAGAAATTTGTTCAACCTTTAAAACTTCTATAAAAATGCACTCAAGAGTGTCTCAACCATTATCAAAGCAATTTTTATAGAAAGATTTCTACAAAGGAAAATGATCAGAATGTGAAAAAGTTAAATATACATACAGGACAGAATATTTTTATGCCCTGAGAGCCTATTTTTCATTCATGTCCAGGATACAAAATAAACAACAGGAGGACATTTCATTTTATAGTTATTATTATTTTTTTTTTTTTAGTTTTTTGGCTTTAATTTTTGTTTTTTGCTAACTGGCCTGGGGGGGTGGGGGGTTTGAAGAAACAGGGCTGCAGGCGGATCATCTGTTTCCATGATGAAGTAGGAACAGAGACAGTTATTTAATGGAAACATCTCCTAGCGTTTAGCTGATGCTAACCCTCTCAGCTCTGGGAGCTTTCTGGCCTCTGTGTTATTTACAGACACCAAATAGTCTCAATATATGCTGGATTAATCCTGTTTTAATTCTTCTTTAAAAATACAAATGACACACAACAATAGAATAATAGAAAAACTTGCAGTCCTGCTCCGTTTCAAACAGCACCCAGCTGGGCGGCATCATTAATGCGCGATTCCCCTCCGACATTAAGTAAGAATAACTCAGTAGTTGCATCCAGCACAACTTATTTTATTCAAGTTTAATAATCTATTGTTAATTTGAACGTTTCAGGTAACAAACCTCCTTTAAAAACCGGGTACCGGAATCGGATGCCTTCTCCCTCTCTCCTCTTTCTTTTTCTTCCTTTTTGAAACCCAGACTTTGGCTGCATTTTTTTAGCCACGGACGTTGGTGCACCAGAACATTTAAGTTGGGTGATAAATGCAGGTCTCATAAATTATCTTTGTGAGACCACATAGGTAATTAATTTCAGTGGTGAATTTGCTTTTTTAATCGGAAAAATATAGCAGGACAAACCTTTACTTCTTTTTGCCCTAACACCCCCCCCCCCCCCACCCCCAGTCAGGGGCCCTTAGGATCTTCCTAACTTCCCCTCATACGGCGTCCCTGGGTACACTAGAGAACTCTGACCAAAGGCTCAAATAATCTGATACTGATAACTGGGAACAGGCAGGTTAAATATAGATTGGAGCAGGTGACATAGATGAACGGCAATGAGCAACTGGGTGGAGCCAGGCAGGTGAATGAAATGAACACTAAAGCAATTCATCAGCACCAAGATCATGACAAGAATAACAACTAAACCAACGGTTTGATTAATGACCAGACCAGGGGTTAGATTAATCAATAAACCAACACTTAGATTTAAAACCGAACGAATAGTTAGATTAACGCCAAATCCAAAATTTAAGTTACCAACCAAACCAGCTCTTATATTAACTACCCAATCAAGAGTTAGATTAATGACCAAACCAAAAGTTTGATTAACTATTAAACAAACACTTAAATTAACAACCAAATCAACTATTGGATTAAAGATTATACCAATGGTTAGATCAATGACTGAACCAACAGCTAGATTACCTACCCAACAAATGTGTAGATTAACAACCAAATCAATAGTTTGATTAACCACAAAACCAATAGATAGACTAACAACCAAATCACCTGTAAGATTAGTGACCCAAAAAAAAAAAGGCTTAGATTAACAGTTAAACCCAGGGTTAGATTAACAACCAAATCAACAGGTAAATTAATGACCAAACTAATGGTTAGATTATAAGTCAGATAAATGGTTGAATTACTTAGCAGAATAGAGACTTAAGATTCATGTCTTAGTCCACAATCTTTGTCCAGGTGATGAAATAGGCTGAAACCAGGTTTCACTCTTATTCAGTGCTATTCTGGATTCCTGTTCTGCTGAGTTTCTGCAGATCCTCCCGAACATGAAACCTTCTCTACAGCTACTTCATGTCTCCCTTATTTCCCTGTTACCAGCCGTTCTTCTGGGCTTCGGTTTCATGGACACGATAAAGGGTTTTTAATGTTGATATGTCATGTAAACATGTCAGACTGAAGATTCTACTCTGATTCGGTCCAATCACAAAGAAATTTCATTCTGAAAGAGCGAGGTTGTTTTTCTCGAATAGTTATTCCTGCCTCCTTTGATTCTATTCATTTTATTTCTATATCTACATTTCACATCATGTCATCTCAGGTCGCTTTATAGATCCAGATCAACCAGATCATCCAGTCAGATTGATTCAAAGTTTTCTATCTAAGGAAAACCAGCTGATTGCATCGACTCATTGACTCTCATTGACTAAGCATGCTTGTAGCGACAGTGGAGAGGAAAAACTCCCTTTTAACAGGAAGAAACCTCCAGCAGAACCAGGCTCAGTGTGAGCGGCCATCTGCTGAGGCCGACTGGGGTTCAAGGAGACAGAAGCAGAGATACAAAAAGCAGCTGTAAAAACACACAGCCAGGCACGGGCTCTGAGCCAGCTCCCATGTCAGAGGATGGAGAGAGCACATC